CACTGATTGACACCGTTTCTTGACCTTTTCTTCCCGCGCCCTTCAGCTTGCTCAAACCAACAACCCGTGATCTTCGCCTCAACGATCCAGTGACACTTCGACCAGCCACCATGGACGCGCAGTGGCAACAATATTACTGGAATCATTACTTGCTTCAACAGCAGCATCATCAGCAGCTTGCCAACCCAGACACAACGGTTTCACCTCCCACTGCAACTCACCACACCTACAACCCTACCGGCACTTATGGCCCACTCACTCACGCACTCCGCACGCATCAAGCCCACCACTCTCATCCATACACGACTTCACCTTACACACCGCCACCGCAGCACACACCGCCACAACAGGCACCACCGTCACAGCCGGAGTTCCCACCTCCACCGCCACCACCACTCCCCACAGCCGACCCAGTCACTCCACCACCAGCATCGACCTACAAGCGCAGCCCACCACCACCGCCAGCTGCCCGCGCCGGCGCTGCACCTGCTCCACCGCCACCTCACATCCCATCCCCCACTCCACCCATCCAAGACTCTTGGAACCAAACAGACCACCATTGGGATTCCAACACCTTGCACGGCCACCAACTATACCGTACAATCCAACCCACACAGTGGTCTCGAAAAGCAGGGGTGGCAGGGCTTCCGACCTTCGACATCTTCCCATGGCAACTGGCGTACCATGGTACCTCCGAATTTACCGCCCGCACTCTTAGCAATGGAAAATACACTGGTTTCATTGCCACCAGAAGTATTGCGGAGTCAGTTTTCGCGACCCACCTTCTCCAAGAGCTCCGCGAGAAACGCCTCGACTTAGACGGCATCGCCGAGACTCTCCACACCAAACAGGGCACTGACATCATTAGCAAGACAACACAGGCCCGAGCCTTCCACGCTCCCCTGATCAAACTACTTATCCAACAACTCCAAACTCACTCCCCGGCACCAGCGGAAGGCACCGCTCTACGCGCCCTCAAGAACACCACCGACGAGCTGGCCCGAGCACGCCAGAAGCTCCACGACTTGGGCGACCCACTCACTCCAGTGAAGACCACCAGCCACCCCTCAGCACCGGCCGCCCCATCACATGAGCCCACCCCACCACCACCAAAACCGCCAGCCCTTTCAGACGTCCTGCAACCTCCACACCCAACATTGCAGGATGGTATCCCAGACAGTTGGAATCATCCCGATATCCAACACTGGGTCACCACCTTCGACCCTACCGTCCAGGAAGCCGCCAATGAGGTCGTGCGCTTGCTGCAAACGAGTAAAGTCACTACTCAGCAGCTCAAGGACGCAGCCACACGTTACGGCCTGCCGCTCAACCGGGTCAATCGTTTGCCAATCCGGAGCTTGCAACAGCTTGTGAGTGTGGGGGCAGCCATCGGCTGCTGACTCGCTACCCTCGCCCAGCAGCAACCCAGCCACACCAACCTCAACCACCTGTTCCACTTACACCGAGCACTCTCCGTACTGATCCACCACACCCAATACATCGACCGCGCCGAAGCCATCTTTGCCACTGGCCTTATCCACATCACACTCCTTTTCGCATATCCTTCCAACACCCGTCGCTCACAACAATGGCGCAACCGTCTCCGCCAGCTCCACATCCTACCCCACACATACCACTACCACAACTTCCTCTCCTCCAATTCAGTTTACATCAACCTCCACTTCAATCCTGACCAACCTCAACGCTGCTACCATCAACATGGCCACTTCTATGTGGGCTCCACAGCCATTGGCATTCCCCACCGCGAGCACAACCGCCGTGCCAAACTCAAACAACTCCAGAACAATATCCCCATTTCTGCAGAACTCTCCCTACGCTATTGGCACTCACACAACAACATCCACCACTACACTACCATTCAACTTACATCCCACGACACATACGACCAAGCTTGGATACAAGAACACCACTACATCGCAAACTGGATGCCTACACTCAACTGGCCCTTTATCTCCCACCACCTCAAGCTCAAAGCTCAAGGCTGGCAGTTTACCAAACACAGAGCCCATTTCTACTCCAGATTAGCAACCCACAAACGACTCTTTCGACGCCTGCGGCAACGCCAGTACACACTCAGAGAACCACACCTTTACACCTCCACCAAGCATCACGCCCTCCAACTTCTCCGCAACCTTACCAAACACACAGCAGCCTCTTTTGAAGCAGCCAAAGCGCTACGAAGCGGCCGTCACACGGATCTTGAAGTCTACGCCATCCGGCGTATGGCCGCCAACCTTGAGGAACCCGGCCGCAGCAGAGCTCTTCACATCATCAACAAAGCCCTCCTATACCGCAACCTCACGCCGCCAAAACCAAATATTCCACTGACAGTGCCAAAACACTGCCAACAGTGGCTCCGTACTACCATTCAGCAGCACAAGCACTTGACCATTCCCCTTCACCTCCCCTCCCACCGACTGCGCGAAGCCGCACGCAAAACCCTACGTTCCCACCTACATAACCACCGCGCATGGGAGGACACCCTCCACTCCCCGCCAGATCCAGCAGACCTCCCCTGCGCATGCGACCATCTTCGTACTCTCCTGCAGGATCCTGACACACCCACCACCAACGGCCACTACATTCTTACACTTGATCAACTCCAACTTCCCACACATCTTGGCATCTTTCTCAACGCCAACATGAACAGCACCTACTACCCAAGCAAGGCCCGATACTTCCTCACGTTCCGGACGGCCTACACGAAATGGCTCAAGCTACAAGGGCTCCCACCATCCCTCGTACAACACTTGCAGCCATTCCTCGAGCACCAATGGCGCCTCCACAACATGCACCTCAAGCAGCAACCCCATTTTACGGCTCGCCTGCTTCGCCAACTCCAAGAATACCTCGGCCAACACACAGTGCTTCACCATGCCGACCATGAACTACAACAACTCCGGCTGTTCTGCCCCCGCCAATATTTCACTGGCGCCTTGAATACATGGCAATCCCCCGAACTTTTCGAACCACTTCCCCACCTCACTGCCGCCAACATCCACGACCACCTGGCAGCCACTGTTCCCCCCATTTTGCGCACCCGCTACAAATGGGGCTTCCGCAAAGATTTCAACATTCCCTACGGCGTCGTCCACCTCAAAGAAAAGAAGCAATGGCAGAAAGGCCGCACCATTATCTCATACTTCCAGTCACTCAGTGGCAATCTACTCCGCATCACCAGCCGTGCCCTTGACATTATCCTTCAACACCTTTACCCCCAACATCCCGGCCAAATGTCTATTCCCCAACTTTGGCGCCATTTCCACAGCTACCTCACCCAAACCCCACCAGACATCTCATTGCACGCCACCAACGATGACCTGGTCGGCTTCTTTAACTCGGTCCCACAACACCGGCTCATCGATGCCGTTCACTCTCTCATTCACCACTGGCAACAGCAATCCACACACACCCTGACGGTGGATGTCCAGGCTACCGGCAACCCTTTTCACCACTCTCACATTGGCAGACACCATCGAAAACACCCTACACAACGCACCATCCAGACATCAGATATCACCACCATCGTGGCCTTTGCCCTCAACACATGCATTTTCCGGGCTTGCAACAACACTTACAAGCAAATCCGAGGAGCTGGGATTGGATCCCAGCTTTCTCCAGCCCTCTGCAATGTCGCCATCACCCTCATAGAACATTCCTGGCATCAGATCCACAACAACTTACTTCAACACACTGACCTACACTTCACTTACTATCGATATGTCGACAACCGTTTCATTGTCCACAACGAACATTTCCTCCACCATCCAGCCATTCAAACCCTCATCCACCACAACTTCTTTGGCGACCCAGTGGAACTCGAACCGGTGGAGGACTTCCATCTCCTAGGTTTCAACATCGACCTCCCACAACGCACCATCACCTACATGCAACCTTCCCAACCCTGGAAAATCAGGGATTCCACCACCGCCGGGAGCCAGCGCTTGGCTCTGTCAGGCCTCCAATCAAGACTCCACACCATTCGAAAATACACATTTCCACCCTCCAGCGCTGAAGCTGCTGCTGCCGAGCTAGTGAGGCTCTATGTCCAAAAAGGACACAACCATCACGCCTGCCACCGTTTTTTGAAAAAAGCGCCGAAGACGGCGACCTGTGTGTGTCCACCCCTGGACAAAGGGTTTTCCACCGCCACTTCCTTCACCGATTTTCCACGAACTTTCACATGCACGGGCGTGTGGCACTCTCGCCCTACCACACGCAACGAAGCTGTGGGCGAGAGTGGGAAGCAGGGCCTGATCAGCCCTGCGTACCTGCCGTTCTATCAAGCTGTGACTCCACTCTCCACGTTTTTGATTCATGGTTCTTCACGTTTCCACCCCCAAACCTTTTCCTGCCGCAGACGTGCAGCCGCGTTTGATCGTTTTGCAGCCGCATTTGAACGTGTGAGTGCACTTGTGAACAATGTTGAACAATACTTTTCAGTGGACTTTGCCACCTTGCCGTTCCCTCGCCTTCCTTCCCATCGGAGTAATTGAGTTAACTGAAAACCAGTGTCAGAGTGTGTGTCAAAAGCAGCGGTACCTATATCGACCTGTATATGAATGGAGCTTAGCAATTAGTAGGGGCCTTGGACTCCCAAGAATGCTCTTTACGCCCTTGGTGGCCTTGCTGTTCCATTTCAGGCGCGCCGAGCACCAAGAAGCCACCGGTCCGGAACTTGCGGCGAGCAGCCTCGGCACCAGAGGGTCCTAAGCCAAAGCGGGCGCTGGTGCAGACGCGCCGGGAGTCTTGGGGTTGGCAAAGCCAGAGAGTGCGGCATGCATGTAGGATTCACCTTGTTTGGTGTGCATGTTACAGTCTCGGAACAAATATAGTTAGCTACTACGAATAATATATAGTTTGTTATATATTATATATATACACATACACACTACGTATCATTCATTGGTTGCTGGGCAGGCCAGGATAGGTTTGAGTTGCCAAACAGAGGCAGGGCACTGACTCCTTAAGGTATATTGATGCGTGGGAAGAGTTTGGACGATTGGGATAACCTAACAGCGAAGCTCATGAGGGTGACTTTCGCACACACCAATGTAGGCATTTCACCATGGCCGCAACATATCCTTCATGCTTCTTGGCTCGAAAACTTCAGCATCATGGAGACACGGATTTTGGATCCCCGCCAACGCCCTGCAGGCGCGAAGGATGTCGTTTGGAAGGGTATATCGAATGTTTCAAAAGGGCAACCGCATCAAGTTGCGCAGGAGAGATGAGGTGGTGGTTGAAATACATGTTGAAATGACTGATGTCTCTTGTTTTCTCATATTTTCTCTTGATGCTTTCTGTTCCGGGCCAAAAATGGCTGAACACAGCTTGCACCCATGCTGTTCGGCACTCAATCCCAAGAGTGGGCGGCGGGCAGACTGCTTTCAAAAGACCCTTGGGCGCTTTCACTTCCAGAAATACATACGTAGAACTAGAAGTAAATAAACTTAAATGGATCCTCGTTGACGTCAGGCGAGCATTTGGAGCCTCGTCGACCAAAGGATCCCAAATGGCGTGCACAGCATGGGGACCTGCGAGCAGATTTGGGGCCCATGCATCTCGCCTCCTGGGGAGGAAGCTACTATGAACAAGTGCCTTACTACTAGAAACTAGTGCCTTACTAGTAGTAACAAGAAGCTATTAGAAACAAGTGCCTTACTACTAGTAACAATAAGAATTTAATTGGAATTGTAACCCATGCATCTCGCCTCCTGGGGAGGAAGCGTCGATGTGGACGATGGGACGCGCGGTCCCCCGCGATGGGAGCGTTTGGCCGGGACAAGCGACGAGCGCCTCCGTCCATACACAGGGTTGGTTGAAGACTTTCAACTTTTGATCTAAACATTGCACTCAATTATTGGTGCTTTGTATCCAACTGCGATTCTCACAAACGGTCCTTTAATCGACCTTCCCAATTTGGAGATCAGATTTGGCCGAGCCTGGTGGTACCAGCCCTCAGGACAATCCACACCATTGGGTCATTGGATTTTTGCTTGCTTGAGTGTGACATTTGAGCCATGTCAAAACAAGAACTGCAATCGTTGCTTTTGGTAGATTCTTTCAACACAACCCTAAGACTTACCCTGTCAACCAACCAGTGCCTGTCCTTGTAGAGTAACAGCAGTTGACTGCCATCTGTGGCCGTCTCGAAACCGCTCCTAGCAGAGCCTAACAGAGAAAATCGGCCACGCCAAGACCGCCATTGGTCTTCCCAGGTACCCCATCATCAACATTTGCTACCCTGATGGAGCTGCTGCCGTGCAATGCCAGGAATCGCTGCCATCAAAACTACCACAGACCGCCACCAAGTAGTTCTGGGTTTGGAGTTGTCCAGCTTGTGTTGCAAAACGATTGCCGTCTGTGTTGGGCTTCGCATGTTCAGTGCTTGTGATTCGTGTGGGGTGGACCTGTCTCAGGCGGATGGTGCTGGGGTAGCTACCTACCCATCTGGTCGAAAAGCTGTATGCGTCTTGCCACACCACCAGTTGCCAGCTGCACTTGGGTGGTTTTTCTATTTTGGATGATCCAACATCAGCTACTTCAAACCATTCTGCATTCCCTTGATGCCTATTGTTCGAGAGAATGAGCTTGCAGCTTCCATATATATATATATCATATAGATGTAGTTTCAATGCATGTAGCAGCAGCTGTCGTGTTTGTTCGCAACAGATTTCTGCCGCAGAGGTAAAACCCCTGCTCGCAGCTTGCTAGACTTGGATGATGTAACGTCTAAGAAAGCTACTCTAAGGCCTGCCTCTTTGGGACAAAAAAGCGGATCTAATTTGTGTGCCAAAATTTTTAACAGGTGGCACTGGTGGTGTTTCGGTTCTGAGGTCTCGCCGCTTCAGTGCCTTGATCTATGCACGCTCCGAGATCCACGTGCGCTCCGCGGTACCGGATGAGCTGCGCCCAGCGCATCAGCCGCCACACCCCGACGATGCGAAACGGCGGGGACGGCGGGGGGTGGGTGGGATGAAAGAGACTGGACTGAAAAAAGAAGGCTCCGGGCCCTGTGGAAGAAGCATGGAAGAGCACCAAACGTTGGTCGTGAGAGATCATCAGTGCGGCTCAAAAAGCACCTATGAACTGGCAGGTCGTGATGTTGTCTATGTATACATGTCCATATATCAGAGGCTTTGTTACTTTTGAGCGTGTCGGCCTTCGACGGGACTGTTGTTGCGAATTGTGCAAAGAACTCAGGCGGCGCACGCGACATCTGGGAGCGCTGGACGAATGGGGTCTGGGCTTGTTGGAGTCCTTGCCAGATGGCGCTGGAGGGCGAGGGAGCTATGAGGTCACGGCCAGCCATGTGACCGCCACCGGGCGAAAGAGGATGTGGCACTGTGGAACTGGACGGAACTAGATAAGGGGGCCAAAGATGGACTAAGATGACCAATGCGGTTATACTGCAATTGTTCTTGACTGTAGACTCTAGACCACCAGCTTTCTTGTTGTTGTTTTGTTCTTGGCTACCAATATGACTGCATGCTTCAGATGGTCATTTGTCTTCTTTGGTCTTCAGCTGGTCTGGGTACATTCGCGGCACTGATGTCTTCTCATTTGACTGTGAGCCGGCCAAAGGACGTGTGTGATGTCGAAAATAAAGCGAGACCCAGGAGTGCCCGTGTCAGTTCATTTAACACCTGCCAGGGTTCTCATGCGGTGCCCCTGGAGGTGTCCTCCAGCTCCTGATGTTTTTTGGTTTCACCACGAATTATGGGTGTCTTGGGTTTGATCGACACTGGGTCTCCCTCCTTGGGCCGCCACACCACACCATCAGTCACATTTGCAGTAGTCGTCACTGCATTCCATTTGTTTGGGCCTTTTGCGAGAATACGCTTTGAGGTTTGACATAATCTTCCAGGTTTTCCATAGCTTGGCTCAAAAGCATTTTTTTTGTTTATTTCACTCATCTGCACACTGTTCACCGTTCCAACTCGCTCGACCCAAAGCCCTTTAACTCGCACCGTCCAGGTGAGTGCAGCCGGTAGCCGTGTCCGTGTGTCGCGGAAGCTGGGTGCGATGGGTGAGAACGAAGCTTTGTCTCTGCGGCTGACACCAGAGCTGGTGGCCTCCTACCATGCCGCTACGGGTGCCTAAGCGATGATGGGAATCGGCATGTGCTCATCCAGTGGAAGAGGATGATTATATAGAAGGCGACGAAGCAAAGAAGATCGTTCTTTTGCTTCAAATTGTTTCAGGGCTCTTGAGTGTTGCAGTTACTGTGGTCCAATTCCCATTCGTACTGATCGGTGTTTTCCATTTTTGTACGACTCCTGTCATCTCAATAGAGCCTCCAATGTAATTGAACGCCGAGGCACAACAATCTTGGATTTCAGCTGTGACGGCGGGGTGCTTGCAGAGGGGGTTGGGCATTTCGGTGAACCATGCTTTGGTGCACAACATTCTGCAGAGGAGCCCACAAATGGATTGCTACACTCCCTCAAATAGTCATGGAAGTGGAAAATGGTCCCCCTGATGACTATTTTCCTCTACAAACAGGTGGCTTTCCACTTCCATGACTGTTTGAAGTGGGCGTCCGCCTTGCAAAGTTCTGGCACCTTCATGCGGTATTTTGGGATTTTTAGGCAAGACGGAGGACAGGGGTAGAAGAATCACTTCACCTTGAATGAGGGACATGGATGGGCATTGAATCTTGAGACTTGAGACTTGACGGCTTCAGGGGTACACAGGTACACCCTTTGCATGTGTTGACAGGAACAAATTGGACGCTGGTAATTTTTGAGATGGCTGTCAACCCTCATCTAGTCCAAGCTGACCAACGATGCCCGGGTGCCTGCATCAGCTGTCAGGGGTGTCATACAGCTTCCACATCGGTGAGGCCGGGGCTGTGAATAGACGAGGATAGACTGAAGCACTTAGCAGTCCTACAGGCTTCAGTCCAGCCTGGCATAGGGAATCCTGGTAGACCAGTCTAGCAATTTAGGGTGTTCTTTCCTCTGCGAGGTCTGGCACTTAGTGAACTCAATTGCCATGCTAATGTGCTACGAACCTTGTGCTTGGGATCGGCTTCATTGCTCTTGGAAATCTGAAATGCTTGTTCTTTTTTTGATAGCAAAACAGCGGGAGGCGAGGGCAAAACAAGATCATGCAAAGCACATGAGCAAGCCCCAAAACCTCCCAAGATGAACTAAGTAAAGGCCTTGTCATATATGGAAAGCAAAAACCTGAAAAGCGTAAGGTTGCGTAAGTGAGTTGTCATACATGCATGTTGCTTAAGCTTGCCATATAGTTGTGTTTTCATTAGTAGATTCTTAGCACACACCTTGTCAAGAACGGAACCGCATGGACCATGAGAGCCCGCTCATGTGTTTGTTGCCCGCTCACCCGCAAAAAGGAGTCTTCGCGTATTCATTTCCCTTGGGAGCATGGTTCTCATTTGTGAAAATGCAGATGCGTAAGATCTGTGTAAGATTGTGTAAGGTCTTCTTCAACATCCGTGGCGCGTAAGTTCGCGTAAGAAGAGCGTCAGCAGGAGCGTAAGAAAGTTATACGACATAGGGGTTTAATCATACGTATTTGGCCCAGCTCACATAGTGATGACCCCTGCCATCATCTGCCATCAGTTAAAGAGCTGTCCGGGATCGAGGTGTGGAAGCTTGGAGATCGTGGCCTGAAAGCAGCCTGATTGCAGCGAGCGGTGGTGTACTGGTCTAGCGCATAGGTCTAGAGTCTAGCTGCTTAAGCAAACTCCTGCACAACTCAAAGTAATACAGCTGACAGGTAGGTAGGCAGGCAGGTAGGTTGGGTAGGTAGATACGGTAGAGCACCTTGTAGACCTACAAGTTGCACCCACCACAACAATGTTTTGCTAAGGCTACACATCCGCTGGAGGTGTCTGAGCAGATTGTCCTGGCCTCCCAAAAGTCCCTGGACAACTCGCAGACCTTAGTCGTCACTTGGTACGTGGAAAGCTGAGCCGGGCAGCTGAACAGTGGAACGGTTTGGGAAATGAATTTGGGAAGACCGCGTGACCAAAAAGAGACCCAGTGCAGTAGTTCAATTAAACCATCCTATTTTGATGTATGAACACTCACAACCCTGCAGCATAATGCAGACATGTCAAACTGAGGAGACAACCTCGAACTTGCAGAAAACGCTCAAGACCAGCGCGTCTTGCCCATCCTTGGGCGACAAGACCTTGAAGAAATCTTCTTCGGAGTCATCGATGAGACTTCCCTTGAATGCCTTTAGAGAGTTGAGCGAGGGGCGCTTGGACTTCAGAGAGGACATGGGTTCATGCGGTTCACATGGGTGTTTTGCAAACCCCACAACATTCCCCACAAAAGTTCAAGAAGTAGATACATTCTGTGAACTTGGGTGTAGTTGAAGGCCTGCATAAAAGCAGGACCTAGTGGCCTAGTGGCTGACTTTGGACGGAGTTCTTCTTCCACGCCTCGGCAGGAGCACCACCTGAAGATGCTGACAGGCAAGGTTCACCCATCTCTGGCAAGGCCAAAGATCACCAAGACCATGAGGGAAGGCCGGATGTACAAAAGGTATCAAAAGGTGAGAGAAAACTGAGACCATGAGGGAAGGCCGGATGTACAAAAGGTATCAAAAGGTGAGAGAAAACTGAGTTGAGGCATTGATTCATGAACTAGTTACATGCATGAGCAAGACCAAAAGGGCTAAATTAGCCAAAGGGCTAACATAACAAGCCAACACCCATAAAGTCTGCTTTCAAGGATATTGACCCAAAACCAAGTCAATACAGTATGAAGCAATCAGTTGACGTGAAGGCAAAACCCATTTCTGGCCTCTATCCATGCAGGTCCTCTCAAGCACTAGGAATGTGGGACTCTTTGAGAACCAGACTCAGGAACACCTCCAGCCCTTCTTCCGGAGTCACGGTGGGGTTCAGTTTCCAGAGTTGCAGTCATTTCCAACATACAGAACGCACGCGCACAATTTGGGATGGACCTTTTGCAGGCTATGTGTGGCCAGCAGCCCATCCAGGGAAGCCGCCGGTTGAGCCCCTGCAGATTGCCCAGCCCGTGAGCCTGGAGAAGATCAAATGCGCTGAGGTGGAACAGCGGGCAGCTTCCATGGAGTCCGGACCTCCGGCCGTAGTCGCATTGAACATACACACACACACTGTGAAGACTCCTCGTGGGAGAACGCCATTAGATACAAGCAAATGCCCAGTAGATAGCTTCTCTACAGTTGGAACAGGCAGGTACGTTTTCACAGGAAACGTGCAAGACTGCACGAATCCCCAGCGGCCCCCCTGCCATAATAGTCAAGCTTGTGTTGAGTGATTGGGATTTGTACATGAAAGTTTACTTTGTCCGCAAACCACATGCTGCACAAAGATGTACGGAGAACAAGCGTGGATCCTAGGTTGCTCCTGGGTTGCACTCAGTTCTTTACTTGAGAAAGTTGCTTCACTCACTTTCGTCCTGATCCTTTGAATACTCAGCTTTTGCATGTAGAACGCCATGAGAATCGCGTGTATATGATTGCATATGGAACTTCCTTCTGTTGAATCTTGAAATAATGCACTTTCGATGTACGGGAACTTGGAGTATAGATCATGCTATCTTCACTTTCTGATGACACTTTCATGTGCCTGGGCAGGACAGATGTTGGCTGTTTTGGTGGTTGCCTCCTGGTCAAAGCAATCTCACTACAGCTCCAGTGCACATGCGGAGATTGTGGCCCAGGCAGCTTTCTCGGAGCTCAAAGCTGCGGGTGAGGCGCAGGATTGAAGGGTTGCGCAGAGTTGGCAGGGTGGCACAAAAAGAACGAGCACTTCACTGCATGTTTGCTAGTACTTAGTAAGGCTGCCGAGTTCAGTTCGCAAGACTATGTAAGTCGTTAGTCTAACGACGTGTTGAAGCTTGTGAAACCGTGGTTGACCTATAGGATTGGAGAAGCAACCACCTCAAACAAGCACGAACCCCGGTGGTGAAATCAGACACCCTGAGATACCATCAAAGACGCCAGGTTGCCAGTTTTTTCTTAAGATGGATTTCTGGGTCACATGAAGGCACTACTCATGAATTTGACACGAAACCACATTGCGAAAGCAACACTCCAAAATGGTCAAGTGATGCTTCTTTGGACATTTTGGACAACATGAAAAACACATTGTTTCAGTCCATTTCGCACGAAAACATCTCAATTTTGCACGACCAGGGCCGCCTGGTCTTCTGCGTGGCCGACCTCTCCGAGGCTGGCGCCATCCACTCCAGTGACGCGGATGTGGACGATCCATTTGGGAGTCAAAAGGACAGTACAAAAGAGCGATTGTATAATAATATAATTAATGTAATACTATAACATGGTATACTGAAGGATTTCGAATAGATGAGGATGGCCGGCCCACGGTTATGATGTACCGTAAATGGTTGATAGGCATTGCAAGGCATGAAACCCCATCATCCGTCCTTTTGAAGGTGATCCCTTCCATCATTTTCCATCATTTGCAGCACAGTGGATGGATCAAGCGAGAGGTATTTGCACTTACCTTCTGATGTTTCTGGACCTGTTAGGACCCGTTTCAACGAATGTGAAGGGGCAAAAAGGGTCAGTTTGCGGAATCCAAATTGCCGCAAGACTTTGAGACTTGCATTGGGTCTCGCCAGCCCCAGCGACAATTAATTTGCAGGAAGCACTCTCATTCCGAAAGGGACATGAAATGGAGTACAACAAATATGTTCTTCCTGGGAATTTATTTGATGAGTATTTTGATGGAATGGAAGGTTTATTTGAAGAGCTCGAGACAGGCCTTCCATCAAAACAAGACAGGCCTTCTATCTAAGGCACAAAGTTCGAGAATCCCTTGGTCGTGAATTATGGAGTGAAGGCTCGACATTTGAAGAGACCGGTGGGGGGCATGGAACTGGAGGTGAACACGACCGAAGGTTTGAACTGACGGGTTTTCTATTCATCATGTTTGTTGTTTCCATGGTTCCAGGCCGCGACCACGTGTGAAAGCCGCAAGGTAGTATGCAATACCGTTTTCTTTGTTACTTGTGTCTGTATAGACCGTTAAAATATACTATATATTATATAAATAATACACATTGAATAGGTGTATGCCATTTTTCCCCCTTGTTTCTTCCTATTCATTCGACCTCTGTTACCCCTGATGGCTTTAAAATGGTCCAAAAGGACACCCCAAACGGAAGCACACTGCCAGGACGAACGGACTGTTGTGTCGTCGTATCTCGACCAGTGCGGATCCAGGAGGCGCCCTGGTTGTTGCTCTTTGCGCGTGGTGATTTGATCTTGAGCGAAAATCCTCATGCTCCGAACACCGGTGGCCTGGGCTTCGCTGCACGCCTCAGGTGGGGAGCGATCTTTTTTGTCAGTGGTGTATATAAATGGCGGCTATGCAAGGTGCTAGAAGATTTGCCACTTCAGGAACCGACCCTGTTTGGAAGTTTTGAGTGCTCTTAGCTGACTGAATTTTTGACACTCTAGGTGGTTTGAGGTGAGGACAACGAGAAATTTTAAATGGTCCTGTTCCTGCGAACCACAGTTCAGGGCGCTGTGCACCCCACCAATTCTTTGTATAGAGACTTCAGAGGAAGGAAACTCGCTGATGATGACGATTATGATGATGATGATGACGATGACGATGACGACGATGACGACGACGATGACGACGACGACGACGATGATGATGACGTTGGTGTGAAAGGCTGAAATGGCAATTGCCAGAATTAACCATATATACTGGACGTCAAAAGGCGCTTTAAGCTCCAGTCCGCCAGTCCGCAAAGACTTTCAAAGGCCAATCCTGTGGATGCTGGAATGATCCGAGAATGGAAGTCTTTGGCAAAGTGTCGATGGTCAAAACAATGCTGCACAATGCTCCACATTCTTGATAGCTCACACATTATATAGAAGGCTACCCTCTTCATCGGGGGCTGACCCTGAGAGGTACAAGGCCTTTGCCTTACCGCAAGTGCTGGTCGTCGAGCCCGCCCCGGCAGCCGCTGCCATCCAGCAGAACGCAGCTGCGGTGGCGCAAGAGTACTCGGGCAGAGTGAGAGCACGGGTGGCTCCAAGCAGAATATGTTTAACTTTAAATATTGCAATGTAACCAGGCTAGTCATGGGTTAAGAGAAAGCTTTGACCTATGGGTCCTGACATCTCAAGACTCTCCCTGTGAGGTTTTGGCGGGCATTCCTAGTAGCTTCTTGTTCCTAGTAGTAAGGCCAGGAGCGCCCCTAGTAGCGTCCTTGCTCCTAGTAGCGATGCCCTTTGTTCCTAGTAGCATTCCGATCGTAGATTTGTTCGCCCTAGCTGGGTGCCGACTTTGTGAAGATCCACGTGCTGCCAATCATCTGTCTGAGGTCCAACGGGCGGCTGAAGGGCACACAGAATGTGGCGCCAGTCTCAGAAAGCCCCGTGAAGAGCTGCCCTTTTTCAACTCCCAGTTTTGTAGCGACCAATAATCAATACGCTCAATGTGCTGTGAAGACCAGTAGAAGAGGGGGATGCCTTTTTCCATCTTCTTCCTAAGCAGGTGTGGTATTTGGAAGGAGAGCGATCTGCGTGCCTCCGACTCTAGTTGGGTCTTGTATCCACATCCCGCTACACTCCCCCAACCCACCTTGACATCCTTTGAACATCCTTTGACCATGTGCTTCTGACCGAAGCCGACAGGTATCCAGTGGTGAAATGTCAGTGTAAATCTAAAGCCCACCGTTATGTACCTCATGCCTTTCACTGTCTGGAGGAGTTGCAGCGTGAAGTCGCACCCCCTTGCTCTGGAAGAAGTTGTCGGATTTGCACCGAAGAAGTTGTCGGCGGTGCGCTGAGGTCAACAATTTCCAGCTGCAGCTGCAAACCCAAGAAGTGCTGAAGCGCGCAGGTGGCGGGATGATGTTTTCCGATGGATGACGAGTGTCGTTGCCACTTGTTGCCTCTTCAGTGCAGGTTACAATTACGAGCTGGCCATCAACGGCAGTGATGCCTTGCGCCTGGCCAGTTGTGCCCAACCGCCCTATGGCTTGCTGCTTTGCAGCTCGCAGGCGACCCAGAAAAAAAAATAGAGAATAGAGTATATTACCCTCAGAGTTGAACAACATGACAAGCGCTGTAGGCCCAGATCTGTAGAGAATAACAAAATATTTTTCCTAGGCACCACAATGGTAGGACAATATAGCTCAATATCTATTGGGGTAAGCCAATTGTTTAGTCAGTTTACTGGACTTTGGGAATCATTGAAACTGCATGTTCACATCAGATGACCTTCTGCAGTCTGTAACAGCAAGTCACTAGCTCACTAGGTGACTGGTTTGGTGGCCCTGGACTGGATGACATCTATCAGTTGGCTTCTGCAGCAACATGCATGCATCATACCCAGACATCCTGACAACACCGTGGGCAATGTGGTGTGGGTCATGGAAGCTTCAAAACACATACCAAAGAATGGCTGTGGGTGATCCCCAAACAGCCAAATCAATCACTGTGACATTTTCTCTTACAGTGGTTATTTGGGCGGCAACTAACCATACCTGCCCATACATTGAGGGCGGACGTCGATGCAGGTAGGTGCGACGGCCTTCACTGAGCTGGCGGCACGGATGCGTCAGCGGAACAAAAAGCTTTTGGCTGCTTGGATGCAGGCTTTGGGATCTTCCTGTGCTAAAGACAGCAACTTTCTCGAAAGTTTAAAGTTTAAAGCCATTCGCTCTCACACCAGCCAAATCGCATTTTTTTGCAAGGTATAGTATAGGCGACCCCTGACTGAGGAGACCTTTCCTTCGACCGCGTGGCGTGTTAAAAGGCGTGCACCCCTGTTTTAGATGTTTTAGCGTGTGCCGTGTGAAAGGTGTGTGTGTGGAAACATGTGTTAGCACGTCGTGTTATCATGAGTATTGAATCGTTTAGAACAACAAGTTTTTGCTCAAATTTAATTTATATACTTCAGTGTTTATGTCTACTCACTCTGACTGAGCCTAATTCGATTTTATTGGCAAACATGATGCAACCAGGCTTTCGTTTGCCATGACGCAAAGCAGCTGGGCGACTTTGATGATGCCATGCAAAACCTCATCAGAGATCCTGAGCAAGTGGCCGGGGTTTCTTCGCAGCAGGAGTTAGGTCCACATTCAAAGCTCTTATATAAGGTAAAACAAAACATATAATTATCAAACTTTCCGCCGTTTGGCCGGTTGGCCAGATCTTGGTCGTAAGTGGGCATGAATGCAGATGTATAAATATATATATATGCATTCCGTCATGAAATGATGGTGCCTTTTGAAAACGAAGAAACAGTGAAACAAGGTTAATTGTTGAACGGTTGCGTACGTGTGCCATTTTGGCTTCAAGTGTCCCCCTACCGTGTCTTTCTTGCTGTCCGGTGGTGCTATGGATCTGGACGGTCCCCTCGAAGTGGGGGAAGAGGACACGGGAGGGGGACCCATTGTGTTGGATGACGACAACGATCCGCCTCAAGAGAGCCTCCAAGAGCTAGCGGATAGAGTCAGAGAGGTCACCGACATGAGGAGCTGTGATCTGAGGCTCTTCAACCCACCAGCACCAGGTTCCCCTACTGAGGTGGTAGATGACTCAGATGTGGAGATGGTGTTTGAGAGCCCCTTGGAGGCCTTGAAGAAGCTGGTACAGCAGGCTTGGCCCTCGAAGAGATCAGCGGCTCAGGAGAGTTCCCAGGGCGGTGGAAGTGCGGAGGAGATGATTCAGAGTGAGATGAAAAAGCTCAAGTACAAGTACCCTCAAGAACTGAAGATGCCCTGGGAGAAGGGCTTTGCTGGCCTGGTTCTGCAACCGGATTCGCAAGTTATGAAGGCCCCGTGCTTGAACAAGGAGAACACGAAGGCGTGGGCAATGGAGCAAGCGGAGACGGAGGCGAGGAGTAGCGGATTGAAAGAAGGGTCCGTGGAGATCCAGGCCAGCTTCAAAAAGTCAGACAGGGTGAGGCCACCGTGGGATCAGGCGGAGGCAGATGACAGGCAGAAGGTGTTCGCGGGCTGGTTGGTCATCATCGATGAGGCTAGGAAGTTCTGCAAAGCTGCGGAAATGATCGACCAGAGGTGATGGACGACATATTTGCTCGCAAGAAGAATGGCACCTTGCAAGTCAGACTGAGTGCAATGATGATGTATGTCAGGTGGGCAAGATCGAAAGGGCTCCAGGCATTCCCACTCACGGAGGCGCAGTACTACAACTATGTGGATGGGCTGAGGAGAGATGGTGCTCCAGCCACGAGAGCAACTAGCTTCCGAGGCGCCTTGGCTTTCTGCAAGGGCACGATCCAGCTTGAAGGTGTAGATGATGTGTTGGAAAGTGCTAGAATCACTGGCTCATCTCATCGAAGCTACTTGACCAAGCGGGTGCTGAAGCAGAGAGATGCCCTGACTGTCAACCAGGTGATGACGCTTGAGTCCGCGCTGGCAGGACGAGAATTCCCAATGCAAGACAGGCTGTTTGCAGGGCACTGCCTGCTCTGTGTGTACGGGAGGCTCAGGATGGGAGACAGTCAAGGAATCGAGAGCGAGCCGCAGGTCTTTGGAGGCTATCTGGAGGGTGGTACAGCCATCCACTGATGGCTTGAGAGGACGAGCCAGAAGAGTCTTGCCTGTGGTAGCGCCTGCGGTTGGAGTGTCGGGCTTGGCATGGGCAGAGGAATTTTTGACGCTCAGGCACCTGGCAGGGCTGAAAGCCTTGCCAGGGATGCCGTTCTTGCCGACGCCAGTGGTAGGTGGAGGTTGGAGCAGGGCGAAGTTGGCCACCCCTGAAGCAACAGTGTGGCTGTGTGAAGTCCTCCAGAAGTACTCAGGCACAAGTTCGCTTGGGAATGTGGGGGCCCATTCGTTGAAAGCGACAGCACTGTCGTGGATGGCCAAGGCGATGGTGTCGGAGAAGGTGAGGAGGCTCATGGGTTACCATGTGAAGCCAAAAGACAAAAGTGTCATGATCTACAGCCGGGACGCACTAGCAGAAGGTCTAGAGACACTCACTGGCATCATTGAGAAGGTCAAGAATTTGAAGTTTCGCCCAGATGCCCCCCGTAACCAGAGATGGCAGCGCGAGGAGGAGTCAGAAGATTGTCCGAGTTCGGCCGGGGTAGGAAGTGGTCCCTGGAGGGGAGGCGAAGTTGGACATGATCGAAGTGCCCACACCAGACAGGAAGATGCATCGCATTGTGAATCTGGAGGAGCTCTCAAGTGAAAGTGGAGAGACAGAGGAGGAGTGTGGTGAGAGTGCAGATGAGCGGAATTTGGAGGCCGTTCTCAGGGCTAAAATTGGCCCGCCTAAGAAAGCGAATCGTGATTTGTACAGACATGGTTTGACAGGCACCCTGCACTACGGAAGTGTGACTCCCGGAAAGCTGGCATGTGGCAGGGCCATAACCCCAGTGGTGTTTAAGCTGGAGGAGGAAATATACGGCCTAGGGAATATGTGCAAGGTGTGTCAAGGATATGGCAAGTGACAACAAGCGAGTGCAAAGTGGAAAAGTGCGTTAGTGGAAAGGGAAGTGAAGGGTGATGAATATTAAGTAGAGAGATAAGTGCAGTGAAAGGTCAAAGGGAGTCAAGTGAAGTGCAAGTTGAAGTGACAGTGGCATGTTCAGCAGCCAGGGGAGTCGTTCCCCCCAAGTTGCACTTGACTTGTGACCGGGAAGTCCGGTTCAGGTTGAGTGAAGCAGGGAAGTCCTGCAGCATGGAAGTGGCACCGCGAGGACTGACGGGTCAGAGGAGTGTGTCGTGTGTTGTGTGAAGTGATGCAGCGTTGGTGAAGGAGCTCGGCTGTAAGTAACATATGTGAGTAAGTAAGGAAGAATTGGTAGGTAGATGAGTTGCAGTCTCGGTGATGTGGTTGATGTGAGTGACGAAGTAGGCTCAAAGCGGGCGGCGGACGCGATTTGAGAAGCGACATGGCGACGCTGACTGAGTCGCAAGCTGTTTTTGCCCAATAGCTTCGGTTAGGCAGATTTCTAACTATTAGTCTATATACTGTTTCTTAACTATTAGTTAAAACAGATGATTAAACCATTAGTCAGAACAATGGTTTTAACTAATAGTTTGAAAGGTCAAATAAACTAAAAATGTAAGGTTGTTCAATTGATTAACCTAAAAGGTTTGTGTTTTCTTCAAATGATTTTTGATTCTATTTTGTTCAAAATGCTCTTGCCAAAAGCACGACACTCTTCACATAAGGTATCACCCTAAAAGATTCACTTATGATTTTCCTGACACACAAACACAAATTCACCTCAACAAGTTGACCAGAATAACATATTCACCTTAAATATTCACCTCGTGCTTTTACACTCAGAGCAGCCAGGTTCACTTCTCAAAAAAGATCTGGATACAGGATTCACCTTGATTCACCTTAGACTGTGGGTGGGAGCACACAGATTCACTTTAAAACAAAATCAGAGCCAGAGGTGCTTCAGTCAGAAAAAAGATTCACCTTAGTCTTTCACTCAGAACAAAGGCAGGTTCATTCCACAAAAGAATCAGAGTAAAGATTCACTTCAAAGGTTCAGCCAAGGCTTTCATTCAACAAAGACAGAATCACACCCAAAAAGATTCATAGTAAATGAGCCACTGTAGTTCATCAGCAATGATGCTGTTCACTTCGGAAAAGGCAAGTTCACACATGCGCACAAGACCTTCACACCTCCAATGTGTTTGACCCAGTGTGTTGTGGCCCAAGGTGTCTCAGAAAAGACTGGTGGCTGATCCCAATGTTGGGGTCCGAGAGCTGCAAGCAGTCTTTGTCAACTTCTTGAAGACACAGCCCACAAAAGATTTGTTGGCTGTGTTGGGGCCCTCCAAGTCTTGCAAGAGAGTTGACTGGAAGAGTGCACCTCTTGCTGAAGGAGATGATCCATGTGCAAAGGAGATAAGTCAAAGAACGATGAAACTGCACAGAAATGCAACAAAAATGTTACAAATCAAATAAAAAAATACAAAATTCACAATGATAGTCATCAAAACATACCTAAAATCAATGAACTGGAGTGTAAGTTTGGTGTAAGTTTGATGTAAACTTACACTAAAACTCACACTCCATAGTGTAAGTTTAGTGTAGGTTTGGTGCAAACTTACACTGAAACTTACACACCTGGAGTGTAAGTTTACATCAAAGTTACACACAGAAGTGTAAACTTACACTGTGAAGTGTAAGTTTGATGTAAACTTACACTCAGGAATGTAACTTTAGTGTAAAGTTACACTGTTGATGTGTAAGTTTGATGTAAGTTTGCACCAAACTTACACTAAACTTACACTATGGAGTGTAAGTTTCAGTGTAAGTTTACATCAAACGTACACCAAACCTACACTACAGTTCACTGATTTTAGGTATGTTTTGATGATTTTCATTCTGAATTTTGCATTTTTGTATTTGCTTTGTAACATTTTTGTTGCATTTATGTGCAGTTTCATCTTTCTTTCAGGTGGTTTTCTTAGACTTGCAACAGCTTATGATGAACAATCTATTGATTTACTCCCTGGGTTTGGAAAGCCCAGGCTTTTGTCTTGGAAGGAAGGTTCCAAAAAAGGTTGAGATAAAGCATTCACCAAAAATGCGCAAAGTCTATGGAGGTAAAGAATTAAATCCAGATTCACTTGGAAGATTCACATTGCGATGTTTAATGAGAGTTTCATTTGAGTTTTAAGGATCACTTGATATTCCAACACCTTCTTTGGTGATTGAAAAAAGGAATGTGACAAACACATTGGCACTGTGCAAACGCAAGGTTTCTTTTTGCATATGTTCACTTTTGGACTTTTGGAAGATGTTCATGTGCGTTAATTTTCAGCACTGCTTCCAGCACATGGTTCTTTCCAATGTCACATGACAATGCCACAATGTGTGTCGCATTTCGTCACTATGAACCTTTCAAATGTCTACAAGGTTCAATGCCTGGCTTGAAGCCAGCCTTTGAACCTGAAAGTTTTTTGTCCCCTCCACCAGCTCGACTGACTTCTAGGTTTTTGCCTCAGAGCCCTTTGTTTGCAGCCATGGCAAAGGATGATCCATTTGGGAAGACAATCATTCAAGATTCACTTTGACATTAGACTCACCTTCTATCTACACTGGCTCACTT